AATCCTTTTTACTTTTTGGTCCAAAATACAAGAGTACCAAGAGCTTTTCTTTGATGAGTTCATGCCTCAGTGCCTCGGGAAGCTGGGGAACTTGTGCTTTACAGTTCATCTCTACCTTCCTCAAACACTCAGGAATACCTTCAGCAGTACCTCACAGCCTGGTTTTCCAGGGTTGTCTTAGAGCCATAGGATAGTTTGGGTTGGCAGGGACCATCAAAGGTCATCTAATCCAACCCCCTGCAGTGAGCAAGGACGTTCTTCACACCTTTCTCCTTGTGCTAAAGGCTTCCCTCCCTTTTCACTGTTGGAGCCTCCGGTGCCCTCAAGCTGTTACTGAAGTGTTCATTGTGCCAAGTTAATCCTATTTCTTTTGACCAAATAACTGCTTCCTCTCATCATTTATTCGTATTTGCTCTTGTTCTAGTTCCTTCTGGTTTTCAACATTTTTCTGCCATTAGGTGCACTCAGACTTGAGTGTTTTGGCTAAATAGGTGCCTTTCAATGGCAGAAGAAATTACGGTATCTAGAATGGAATGTAATATTAGGGCTTTGTTTCCCAGATTTCTCTGACAGGCACCCAGGGGGATGTTTTGAAAGGCTGTCCTTAGTGTTGGTTTAATGCTAATGCCAAGTATACTTTGGGTTATCTGAGTCAATAGATAATCTGAGTTTACCTTGTACAAACAGGTAGAATAATGGAGGTTTTGTTCACCTTTTTGGAACGGATTCATTTAGAATTTGCTACTGGTTCTTGAAAGGCGCCTCGTGAGTTTGAGCTCTTCAGATGCTCGGACAAGTGAGCAGATACTACAGAGGCTCCCAAAGCTCTGACGTGGTTTGTTGCGGAACAAAGGAAGGTAAAAACCCATCATTGGAAAGGATAATACTTACTTGAGGTATCTCTGGGCTCCTCCTCATCTGTGGTGTTGAGAGGGTCTTCCCTGTCCAGCGTCACGCTCACGTGCATGAGAGTTGCGCTGCTCACGCTGTAGGAATAACATCCCCAGCCCTGCCTGAGCAGTGGGTTGTTCAAGGACAATGTGGGACTTGTTTTCACACACAGCTATAAGAGAGCCTGGAGCTTTCCCTGGGCTGGGATATCTAACAGTGGGATTAAATGCTCTGTCGGAGTTTATGTAATGCCACACCAATAAGGAGGCTGAGAGGAGACCGTGTGCATTTACAGTCCCAGAGAAGAGCGTTTACTCTGGTGTATAATAGCCTTCTGTTGGGTTTTAGTAGCGTATAGTTTAGTAAATTAGGAGTCTTCAGGTACTTAGCACTTTAATGGTTCTCACTAAGAACATAATTAAACCATAGACCCCTTGGGAGAAAACCCCCAGTTTATTGTGCGTATTTTTAGACTCTGTTCCCAGCCCTCATAAAAAGCTGGTCGATACAAGCCAGAGAACATGCCTTAGCTGGTGACCCCCAATTCCTGCAGCCCCCCCGAGTGTCTCCCTGCAGTCACACGTTACAAATCTGCCCTGTGAATGATGGAATTCATTTTCCCCCATCTGAGTTCCAACCCCATTTGCAGCGCAGCGTTTCTCCGGCTGCGGGAGGTGTGAGGGAGGCAGAAGGTTTATGATGTTGCACCTTGTGCTGACACATAAAGCTGGGCTTTGCTAATCGCTTTTTTATTTAAAAACATTTTATGTTTCACAGAAGTAGCCAGAAACGGGGCTTGTTGGAGACAAGGGCTCTGCTCTGTTCCTCCCTGCCTCGGGCTTGGTTATTTACCTGCATCTGACTTGGGGCTGCGTGTTTCTGCGTCCGTGTGTCAGGAATTCACAGTTCTCGATGGAAGGAAACTCCTGGCTGCTTTCTCGGATGCTTCTGCTTGCAAAGCAGCCCCAAAGCAGAGTGTAAAGCTCAACATCCCCAGAAAAGCAGTAGGTGAAGTGATCCTGGAATGCTTTTCTCTCCTCCTGGGCTCTGGCACCATCGCCTCCACACCGCTGCGATGTTTCCATAGGATAAGAAATCTGGAGAGGGACATTTTACAAGGACATAAGTAGGGACAGGACAAGGGGAATGGCTTCAGACTGACTGAGGGGAGACTGAGATGAGCTCTGAGGCAGAAGCTCTTCCCTGGGAGGGTGCTGAGGCGCTGGCACAGGGTGCCCAGAGAAGCTGTGGCTGCCCCATCCCTGGCAATGTTCAAGGCCAGGTTGGACACAGGGGTGTTGGATGCCCCAGCACCCCTGGGCAGTGGTCAGCTCGGGTGCAAAAAGCCACCAGAAAGCTTTCCAGCATCGCAAGTGCCTGTGTGCAGCAGGGTGGGGATTCACACCTCGCTCTGGGTCTTTGCTCTTGTCTCAACACCCTTCCCGAGTAAACAGGGCTTTCTTCCCGGGAAGCGGGTGCCACGCTGCACCCGTGCTCACAGCATCTGGAAGGCATTGGGAGGAACACACACACACACACAGAGTGCTCTCCTTCCCCAGCAGCCTTCCGAGGAGTTTCTGATACACGTGAATCCCTTCCCTAGCACTGTGTTTTGTTTTACACGCTCAGCATTTACACGCTGGAGCAGTGGTGGGGAGGAAGGGTCCCAGCACTGCTCTTATCAAAGTGGTTTTCTCCCTCTGTTGAAACAAATGCTGAGGACCTGTGTGTTGTTTGTGGTGTTCTGCTGCTGGTTTAGACTTCAGTCTTGCTTGTCTTTTGACTTACCTTGCCTGTCACACAGCATTGCCCCCTGACACTGTGATAGTGGCGGTGCTGATAGGGTGAAGGATGGCGATGCTATAGCACCTGGGAGTGAATTATTAACCCACACCGCATTTCTGTGCTTTGCTTCTCCCTTTTCCCCACTTCTACTTCAGGATGAAGAATTAGGCTACTGCTAAAAGCATGTTCCCACGCTGGCCCCGACATGGCTGTTGCCTGAGCCCAATCCAAGAGCTTCCTTCTGCTTGTGAGAACAACCCAGAGAAGCTGTGGCTGCCCCATCCCTGGCAGTGTTCAAGGCCAGGTTGGACACAGGGGCTTGGAGCAACCTGCTCTAGTGGAAGGTGTCCCTGCCCGTGGCAGGGGTTGGAGCTGGAGGAGCTTTAAGGTCCCTTCAACCCAAACCCTTCTTAGAACTAGAGGGTTTCTACCCTTAAGCACAGCAGACTGGGGGGACGATGTTTTGAGTCCCAGCCTAAATCAACAAGCAGTGTTTGATGGCTCCAGTTGGCTTTGATAGATGAGGGCATCAGCATGAGCATGTGATGGAGGGGAAGGGGATTTGGGAACCAAATGGCACGTTCAATAACTAAGGATGGTGTTTGCTGGAATATTAAATGGTGTCAGCCCAGCCCTGCAAAGCCAAAATCAAATGAGTAACTGCTCAGTGCCATCACAGTATGAGATTTAATGACATGTGTAAGTAGGTATGTGATTAAATGTGTAACACTGCCTGTTCTTCATGGTCCCCAGGTGCCGCCGGGGAAAGTGGCAGGGGGGGAGAACGCAAACGGTGCGTCCTTCGG